AAGTGGAACAGTCCAGACTGGAGAAACAGAATGAAGATAAAAACGACAGGGAGGAATCTCCGTGGATGCCAGAGTGAACTTCACAAAAGAAAACAGGTGAGACTGATCAATCCATGAAAACACTCAACAAAAATGGCTCTTATTTTCAGAAATTTCCTCTTATTCAGTTTTTAGAAGAAAATCAGCCAGTCCCAGGGTCTCCCCGGAAAACCCTTCCTAGATCTGCGAACTATTTAAACGGCATTTCCTTACCCTCGCTGTGTCCATAGCACCTGACACAGAACAGACACGTGATCAATGTTCAGAGGACAAGTCTGTGCATTCAGGCTCCCTTTCTGCCTGGCAGTGAGGACGGATCCTCCCTAGTCCACGCGTGAAGCCACACTGTCGCGTGCTAACATTTGCTTTCCGAACTGGTCCTGTGTTAGATCGCTAAGTCGGCGATGCCAGGCCGTGGGTAATGGTAGACGGTTATTAAGCCAGGCTCGAGTGCATGTATTTTCCCAACATGTAGGTGTCAACCGCCAAGGAGAAATGTAAAGGCAGCTTCTCCTACCCATCAGACCAACTTTCCAGGACATAGCGAACTGCACAAAATGGATGACATTTACCACACACTTGCCCGAGGGCCCCACAACGGAAAGCACGGCAATGAGAGGGACAGTGAGGGTGACCCTGGGTGAGCCAGGGCCTCCATCCCCCCGATTTCTTACTTGTTTAAAGTCTGCTTTGAGCCTGACTTGCAGTATGTGAGGTTTGGGCTAAAATTTATTAGGTTCTATTTGTTCATTCTCGTTTTTCTTGTGCTACTTTGAAGAAATTCTGCCCTGACTCTGTTCTTTCAGGCAGCACGGGCACATGCTCCACTTCCGAAGACTGCTCTTGCCCAGAACAAGGCCCCGCTCCGTGATTCCTTTCTCACCTCCATCTCTGCAACGGGGCTGGCCCTGCCCCTTCTAGTTCACGGCCTGCCTTCTCTCCTTTCACACTTCTGGGCCTCATCGTCTTCCTTCCCAGGGTTCTGGGAATCAGCACATCCTGCTTCCTCATCCCCGTCTTCCCTCGCTCTCGCCTCCCTCCTCCCAGCCAGGCGCTCTTCTACACATCTTGCCTCCCACTGGGTGGATCTTCAGCTTCTGAGCACGAACTGCAACTCCCTCTCCTCCAACGGCATAGCACCCATCAGCGCCTGGCAGTGAATCTCAATGCATTGCTGATTGGTTCAAAGTCCAGAAGTTACTTCCCGCACCTCGATCCAGCCCCACCTTTGGGCTTTCTGTTGTGAAATGTCTGGCTCTGGAAACTCAAGAGTGCCCACAGATTGTCACCTGCACACTGCCCATGTGCCACATGCTGTGGAAGGTCTTGTGGCAAACATATCCTCGAGGCTCACTTAGGTTGGACAAACAGTGCCTTAGTATGACCGCTTTCCAGAACTCTTTGCAAACATCAAAACATACAGTCCAAGGAGCCAGATGGTGCCGTAAAGGTGAAAGGAACATTGCTGAAAGGAACATTGCGAGGCTGACCTGCATAAGAAGGGTCTGGGTGGGGCCCAGCAGTTAGCGTAATGGCTATGTGACTGGACTCCCATGTAGTTGACAGCGGTTCAAATCCCGGACCCGGTGACTTAAACTCACGCCAGGCGCATGTGCATGTGTGCCCAAGATCCCGAGAGGAGAATGGAGGAGAAGGGATTGCGGCGTGGCCATCCCCCCTGGGGGGTGATTTCTCACTTCCTGTCTCTCTGTCTTTCTGGCAAGCATATGTGCCCTATAGCAAAAACCTCTCTCAAAAAAAAAAAAAAAAAAAAAAAAAAAAAAAAA